TTCCCCGGGACTGATCTCGCCGTTCCTGGGGCTCGATGTCTGGCCGAATTCGAAGCGCCCCGAGACCCGAGCGAGCCTAGGAGACCTAGGTGGCAAGGTAGGTTCCTCTCGATTTTCTATGCCGTTCCTTTCCCATCCTGTGTCGAGAGGCTGCAAGTTCGAATTCAGAAATGGTTCGGAGGACCAAGCGTCGTTGCGGGGGTGGACTGGGAGGGGGTTCGGAAGGATCTTGGTGAGGTCCCGAAGGCTCTTGCGCCCGCGGCCTTGAAGACCTGGCTCGGCGGATGGACCACTCACCACGGAATGCAGCGGGCGTGTCGGCGGTGCATCTTTGGGTGTGGGGGCCCTGACCATTTTGAGCACTATGTGCTCCGATGCTCTCGCGCTGGATCGATCGTGCACGGAGCCCTCGGCCATCTTGTCCCCGCGGAGCCTGCGGTGCGTCTCGGCCTCTCGCCCTCTCGGATGCACGCCCCTCGCAAGTTTGAGGTCATTGCGGCTCATTGTCATGCTTATCGTATCGTTTCCCATTTCTCGGAAGGTCGCGTCGTCGTTGTCGACGATGTCGCCTCCGCGGTCCGCGCAGCCATGCAGCTCGCGCGTGCGGGCCGAGCTCGCCCGACGCGCCGTGGCTGATAGGCGCCGCTCGTCATGCTCGTGGAGGATTTCCCCCTTTGGGCACGCTCGACCTCCTCCTCCTCCTCCTCTTCCTCCTCCTCCTCCTCCTCCTCCTCTCCTCCTCCTCCTCCTCCTCCTCCTCCTCCTGATCCTCTCCTCCTCCTCTCCTCCTCCTCCTCCTCCTCCTCCTCCTCCTCCTCCCCCTCCCCTCCTGCTGTGGTCCGGACGAACCGTTCCACTTGAAGCATCTTCGCAGCTCAGGGCTCCGAGATGACGCGCGCGCTGGTCTGGCCCGTTTCGCTTGAGACATCCTGTCAGTTCTGGGCTTAAAGATTCCGTGCGCGAGGTAGTCTAGCTTCTTTCGCCTGAGACATGCTCGCACCTCTAGGCTTCAAGATATCTTCCTCCTCGTCCTCCACTTCCTCCACCTCCTCCTCCTCCTCCTTTTCCTCCTCCTCCTCGCGTTTCCTCGTTTTTCCTAGCTTCCCCTCGCTCCTCGTGCTCCTCGCTCCTCCTCCTCCCTCCTCCTCCTCCTCCTCCTCCTCCTCCTCCTCCTCCTCCTCCTCCTCCTCCTCCTCCTCCTCCTCCTTTTCCTCCTCCTCCTCGCTCCTCGCTCATCGCTCATCGCTCATCGCTCATCGCTTCCTCCTCCTCCTCCTCCTCCTCCTCCTCCTCCTCCTCCTCCTCCTTTTCCTCATTTTGCGCGAGAGGTGGTCCAGCCTGTTTCGCCTGCGACATCCTCGCACTGCTGGGCTCCGAGATGCCGCGCGCGAGGTGACCCACTCTCGTTTCGGCCTGGGACCTCCTCGAGATGCGGCGGCTGGCCCGAGGAGGGGGGGCCCTGCGCCCCCGGCCCCAAGGTGCAGCCGGGCACCGAGGCTCGAGGGAAGACCTCCGAGAGGCGGGCCCCGTGTTTGCGGGCCCCGCCTGCGCGACGAAAAGAAGCGACCTTACGCCTTACGCCTCCTCCTCCTCCTCCTCCTCCTCCTCCTCCTCCTCCTCCTCTCCTCCTCCTCCTCCTCCTCCTCCTCCTTCCTCCTCCTCCTCCTCCTCCTCCTCCTCCTCCTCCTCCTCGCTCCTCGCTCCTCCTCCTCCTCCTCCTCCTCCTCCTCCTCCTCCTCCCCCATCCCCCTCCGCCGTCCCCTCCCCCACCGCCTCCTCCTCCCCCTCCTCCTGTGTTTCTAGAGAAGAGATGGCGACCTCACGCCGCAGCTTGCGCGGGCCGAGCGCAGCACGGCACCTCGGAAACGAGGGCGCCTGCGCGCCAGCGTACACAGGCGGCTGACGCGCGAGCGTCCGTGCGAAGGACCCGAGGCGGGGCCAAGCCCCATCGACCTGTATATGATCAGTTGCACTCTTGTTGCCGAGTGGCGCTCCAGGAGGGCGTCCAGGCGCCCCTGGCCCTGAGATGTAGCCAGCGCCGCTGCGAGAGCACGGTGTGTGCGTGTGTGTGTGTGTGTGTATGTGTGGGCAGGTGGTGAGGAGGTATCATGCGGGAGCGCTGCGTGAGAGTAGATTGTGGAAAGATCTCGGGCGAGAGCGCAGCGAGAAACGAGCTGTGAGGGGGAATGGGGGAGGAGGGATCGAGGGAGGAGGGAGGAAGAGGAAGGGAGGAGGAGGGAGCGGAGGAGAGGTGCGAGGCCCAGCCAAGACGGCATAGTTGCTTACATGTCTGTTTTCGAATCGTAGTTTGGGAGGGGTTTGGGGTCCCCCGGGCCTGAGAAAGGCCGCCGGCGCCGAGGCGGGACCGCGAATCTCACGTGCATCGTCAGGAGGCCTCAGGCGAAGGCGCGATGCCCGAGTGAGATGCGAAGAGTATTGGGCAAGAGCGCGGCAAGGAGAGAAGAGGGAGAAGGGAGGAGGGGAGATTACGGAGTGCGGAGAGGGGGAGTGGGTAAGGGAGGAGGGAGGAGAAAGGAGTGAGGAGGGAGGAGTTAAGGTTTCAGCATTGAGGAGTGAGGATTGGCCTGCCTCCAAAGAGCAGGTCCAGGAATAGAAGAGGGAGGCAAAGAGGGGCCCGCGAGCGATCAAGGGACCGAGGAAGGCCGCAGGAACGACCGCATCGCGAACACGACGGGGCCGAAGGCACCGCCCGAGGGGCCCAATTGGGAAAGCCGAACGAGTGGGCCCAAGGCGAGGGACGCCAGCGCAGGGGCTCACGATGCGGCGCAGGCTGGCCGCGCCTGCCGGGGCGCGCCTACCGCGGTGCCCAAGCTCCTGCAGGCGCCGAGCCACCCGCTCAATCTCGTCGCTGACGTGTGCCCTGCTGAAGCCACTACGGTCAAGTCGGGCGTATGCCTCGACAGGAGGAATATCCAAAAATAGTAGAGCAACAATCTGGGGACGACTTGTTTTTGTATCGCTATTATTTGGGAGAATATGTTGACTATTCTTTCTTGTTCGCCCAAAATCTGCCTGTAGGGGGACATGCCCGACCTAACACTGCGGTCAAGAACGTTTGGATAGCGTGTCGCTCCGCCGGTTCTGGCCCACCACGTTGCGGCGCGATTCGCTAATCATTTCCCAGGTGCCCAAGCTTCAGCGCCCCGAACCTTTCCGGGCCTTCTGCCCCGCGGAGCGGAGCGTGTCCGCCTGCAGGACACAGCGTGTCGATGGGGCCGCCGCCGCGACATGCTAAGCAAGAGTTCCCGATTATGTCGGCGACTTGCCCCTGGCCTGGATCGTGCCCTTGCTGGTGTCCCTCCTGGCAGCAGCCTCAGCAACAAGATCTCGTGAAGGAGCAGCGCCTGCAGGCCTCCGTCATGATGGAACGACCGTGGAAGAGCAGACCAATGATCACACACTTCATGCTCCTGAGGATCAGAATCTTCACGACGAGGAGCCGGACGAGAAGCGTCTCCAGCGTGAGCGGCACCTACCGCAGCAGCGGAACTGGGTTGCCTGCAGCAGTGGTCGTGACGAGCGAAGCGGCTCCGCTCTTGTCCGAGTCGGTGGCGGGCTCGTCGAGGTGCGAGTCATCATTGGGAGATGCAGAGGCGGGTGGTCTGCAGGCCAGCCCTCGAGGCGACGCAGTACGCCACGGTGCCGCCGCGAGCGCGGAAGTCGCGCGCGCCGGGTCGGACGGCGGGCTCACGCCCCAGGCGCGCGCAGCTCGGCCTTTCGCCCTTCGCTCCAGGGTGCTGCCGCCCAAAGCTGCCGCGAGCTCGGCTGCGGCGCCGAGCACGGCCTGAGCCGCGACCGCCAGCTCGGGAAGTTCGACGAGGACGAGCGGGTGGAGCAGCAGCACCCGCAGCGTGGTCTGCCCGTGCAGCCGCACGCGTGCGGCGGCCGCCGGTTCATCGAGGCAGCGAGGCTCCGTCCACCGGCCCGGCCCATGCCAAGCCGTCGCGCCAGGGCGCACAGGGATGCCACGTGACGCCATGCTGGGGCACGTGGGCAAGGGGGGGGGGAAGAGGGTGACGGGAGGAGGAGCCAGGCCAAGACGACCTGTTCGATTCCGCTTCTGTCGCCAGTCTGTGCTCAGGGAGGGGGGTAGGGGTCCAGCGTCGAGGCGAGAGCACGAGTCCTGGGTGAAGCGTGAGGAGGTCTCGGGCGGAAGCGCCACGAGTGACCAGATTGTGAAGAGGTCTCTGGCGAGAGGGCGGCTTCTGAATGCGAGGAGATCCTTGGCGCGGATGCCTCTGGGATGCGGCATCCGTGGTGAGACGGCGTCCTTGGCATCGGAGGAGTCGGAGGAACCGCGGGGCGAAGAGAAGGACTGGAAAGATGAGGAAGAAGAGGAAGGGAAAGCAGGGTGAGCAGGCGGACGAGGGGGAGAAGGAAGAGGATCACAGCAAGGAGGAGGAGGAGGAGGAGGAGGAGTTAGGTGTGGAGGAGGAGGAGGAGGAGGAAGAGAAAGAGGAGGGGAGGAGGAGGAGGAGGAGGAGGAGCAGCAGGAGGAGCAGGAGGAAAAGCGCGGCGACGATGAGCAGGAAGAAAAGGAAGAAAAGGAGGATTGAAGTTAGTCCTCGGGATTGAAGTTAGGAGCTCCTCGTCCTCCTCCTCCTCCTCCTCATCATCATCATCATCATCATCAGCATCATCATCATCCTTCCTCCTCCCTCCTCCTCCTCCTCCTCCTCCCCATCCTCCTCCTCCTCCTCCTCCTCCTCCTCCTCCTCCTCCTCCTCCTCCTCCTCCTCCTCCTCCTCCTCCTCCTCCTCCTCCTCATCCTCCTCCTCCTCCTCCCCTAGCCATTTTGGCTCGAGCTGTCTGAGCTTGTCGCGCAGGCCCCAAACGGAGTCTGGCCGCCCGCGACGGCACCGATGGCGTCGGCGGCGCTGTGCGGCTCTGGCGACGGCGGCGTGGGCAACGAGAGAGCGATTTCGGTCAGCGGTTGTTCCCACGGGACCGTCGGAGCCATCGTCCGCGGCTCTTACACCATGGCGTCGCCGAACCACGGGAAGCCCACGTACAAGAAGGATACGCAGGTCAACGGCCTCGACGTGATGCTCTACTTCTGGGACGAGCGCGACGGGAAGGCGTTCAGCGGCTGGTGGTTCGGGCCGAAGGTCGGGGGCGACCAGGTCTGGGCCTACCACCCGCGCAACATCGCGACCCCGCCGAAGAGCGGCTGGAAGGTGCCCTACGACGGGCCCGTCGACCCAACCTTGGCCATCGCGGGCGGGGCCGGACAGGCGCAGCAGGGCCAGCAGCAGAAGGGCGGCCCGCAGCAGGGCTGGGGTGCCGCCCAGAAGGGCGGGCCCAAGGGAAAGGGCGGCAAGGATCAGCAGTCCCAGCAGGCAGAGATGGCGAGGAAGCGCCAGGAGCAGGCCTCCACGCTGACAATTCGCAGGGTAATCACGAAGCTTCGCTCTGCGACGCCTGAGTCCATAGATGAAGTAAAGGCGGAGCTCCAGACGACCCTCGCGAAGGAGCTCGGGAACTGCGGCGCTCAGACGGTGAAGATGCAGGAGGAGGCGGAGAAGGGGGTCCAGATGGCCACGCAGCGCATCGAGCAGCTCCTCGCCCAGAAGAGGGAGCTGGAGGCGAAGAAGGCCGCCATGGAGTTGCAGCGGAAGGAGGCGAGGGAGACTGCTGAGAAGCTCCTGAAGGAGCTCGAGGCACTGGGGGAGCAGTCCGAGACCATGATCCAGGAGATGAAGGAGAAGAGCGAGCCGCTGAAGGAGGCGGCCGAGATGAGCATGGCCCTTGTGGAGAAGACGGCCAAGGCCGTTGAGGAGATGGGCAACAAAGCCAAGGAAAAGGTGAAGTCGGTGGCCGATTTTCTCAAGGAGAACAGCCAGAAGATGATGGTCCCTCCGAAGGAGGGCGCGGTAGACATCGCCGCCGGGATCACCAAGGCATTCAGCAAAAACTCGGAGCACACCCGCGAGGCGGAGATTGCCATCAATTTTGCGAAGGCCACGTTGGCCAAGATGGCGAGGAAGGCCACGGCAACGAAGAAGATGGAGGCCATGTCCGCCACTTTTGCCAAGTTCAACAAGGCAAAGGATGGCCTCATGAGCAAGGGCGAGGTTAAGTCTTACGCGAGGGCCACCTTCAAGTTCACGCTGAGCGACGCGGCCCTCAAGCAGATGTTCGCCCTCCTCGGAGCAGAGAAGGGCGTGAAGAAGGATGATTTCCAGACGCTCAAGGTGATGATCGGCTGTGCCCTCGAGATGGAAAAGGACGAGGAGCGGAAGAAGGAACGACTGGAGAAGGAGGCGGTACTCGAGGAGATGAAGAAAGAGGCCAAAGAACAGATCGCCAAAGCGCTGGAGGCGATCCTTGCTTCGGAGGAGCTCGTCAAGAAGGCGGACTCGGCGGCAGCGGCGGCATTCGGCAAGGATTCGAAGACGGAGGCCTCGGGCATGGCGGGAGAGGCAGACGACTTGGGCAAGCTGGTCGCAGAGGCGAAGGAGGGCGTCGAGAAGACGAGGGGGGCCATGAAGAGCCTGGCGGAGGGCATCGAGGACGACATCAAAGCGTGGGCGACGGGCGAGCTCCGGGCGCTGGAGGCGAAGATGAAGACCTGGAACGCGAGGGTGAGCAAGGCGACGGCCACTGCGGCCAAGATGCGCGACACTGCGAAGAGGAAGGAGCTGGCCGAGCTCGCCGTGGTCGAGGGCCGTGCTCTCGCCATCATGAGGTTCCACCAGCGGGAGGAGAAGCTCAGCAAGGAGCAGATGTTCGAGCTCTTCGACGCCGATAAGGACGGCAAGGTCTGCAAACCGAGTTCGTCAAGTTTTTCGAGAACTGCAAGCGCCCGCCGAAGGCCAAGGCGGAGAAGAAGGAGGGCGAGGCCGAGGCCGTCGGCGGCGGCGGCGAGGACGAGCTGGAGCCCGCTCCCACGGCCGAGAGCCTGTCCAAGGTGTTCAAGGGCCTGGACGAGGATGAGGAGGGCTTCCTCTCCAAAGGCCGCTTTGGGATGATCATGATTTCTGTCATGAAAGTTGTTGCAGAGGCCAAGCTCTCGAAGGAAGCGGCCGCCGACAGCGACGCGGTGAGGCAGCTGGACAAGGGAGAGGTGGTCGAGATGATCGAGGCTCCCGTCGAGGAAGGGAAGACCAAGCGCGCAAAGGTGGTCGCCATCAAGGACGGCGCCGAGGGCTACGTGACCGTGACAGATGACGCTGGCGCGGTGTTCCTCAGAGAGGGTGGCAAGATGTTCAAGGTGGTGAAGGAAACCATCATGACCGAATGCTTCGACCTCGAGGAAGACGCTTCAGCAAATAAGGTGGCCGCCAGAAAGCTCAAGGTAGGAGAGCTTGTCGAGGTCAGGGAGTACCCGAAGACGGACGAGAAGTCTGGGCTCACACGCATGAGGTGCAAGGCCAAGACGGACGGCCGCCTTGGCTGGGCCACCACTCTCGGCAATGTCGGGGCGGTGTTCTTGGAGGTCGCGTAGGGCTTCGCAGTATGCTCAATACGATCGAGTCTCCTCCTCCTCCTCCTCCTCCTCCTCCTCCTCCTCCTCCTCCTGCTGCTATTCTTCTTCCTGGAAAACGAAGGCTCGAGTCGATTGACAAACCAGCCCGCATCTTCAGAGCTTCAAAAAGGAGAGGGGGGAGGAAGGGGGATGGCGAGCGAGGAGGAGAAGGAAGAGGAGAGCGACGAAGACGACGACGAAGAGGGCGCAGGCCGATCAGGAGCAGGAGGACGACGATGACACGAAGGACGCGCGTGCAGTCGTTGGAGCCGCGTTGTTTCGAAAAACGTTGTGTGGGGATACGGCGCTCCAGCAAAAGCTTGCAAGGCACCGCCTCTTCTGTTTGTTTCTCGCGCGAAATCGTGTGTCGGAGAAGGCAGATATAGATGCAAGGCGTCAGCTGGAAAAGACCCCGCTGGATACCAACCCTACCTAAGGCAGCTCTGCATGCGCAACAATATGATAACGCTATTCGTTGTCCCAAGCGTAAACTTTGGGAGCTGCGAGTCGGGGAAAGTCTTGAGGGCAGTGAGGATTGACGACGCCCGGATGTGTGGGAGGGTGTACTCTTGGGAGGAAGGGGGAGGATGAGGAGGAGCATTGAGCGAGGAGCGAGGAGGAGAAGTAAGGACGATGATACCTCGAGATTACGGCTCACGGGCAGCGGATGTTTCAGCGAACAAGTGTCAGGTCGAAGAGGGTCTTCTCCTCCAACTCCTCCACCTGCTCCTTCCTGGCGAACGAAAACGAGTAGGTGGAGGTGAGGTCCCGTGAAGCCCGCAGGATTTGTACGACTTGGCCCAGCGATCGTTTTGGGTTTCTGGAAGTGTTTTGTCAGCCAGCCTTGGCAGGTGATCCGAATGTTTGGGGAGTGGCCTTGGTGTGAGTGCTTGTGGTGGTGGTGGCGGCGGTCAAGCTTCTGGTAGCCGTCTTGATGGGTTCGTTGGCACTGATCGGGGGGGTGTTGGCCACAGATCGGTCCAGACAGACAGTTTGCTCCAGGATCGTGTCGGGATTGTCCCGTCAGCCCGATCGGGAGGGGATTCCTAAGGCCGTCTTTTGGACGTGCGTGACAGCATACGGCAAGTGGGTCGCGCTGTTCGTTGTTGCAGCAATCGCGGCCAACGTCGTGGCGGCAGCGCCGGCAGTCCTGGGGACGTTCCGCGCAGAAGCGCTGCGCAACCTCCGGGCTGCGATGGCCAGAGGCGACCAGCAGTCCATCCAGACCGCCATCCTCTGGGCACAGGCTTGGCATCGCTCGGACGTGTGCATTCTTCTCCCGGCGAGGACCATCGAGGAGCATCCCTGATCACTTGACGAAAAAACCACGCACGAAACCGAAAAAGACAGGGAATGGACGTCCGAGCGATGGCGAGCAGGCGGCCGGCGTCAGCATCGAGGAGGCGTCGAGCTCGGAGGAGCTGCGCGCCGCCCTCCGGGGCAAGCTGCGCGCGGCCGTGGAGGCCGGCGACAGGCGGAGGGCATCCGCGGTGGTGCGCTGCGTGCGGGCCGCGGAGGCCCGCCACGAGGGCGGCGCGCAGGGCCAACGGAATGCGGGGCCTCGTTGCCCCGCCAGCGGACTCACGGGTTCGGCCTTGGAAAGTCGGTGGTGCCCTGCACCCGTCCTGCTTCCTCCTCCTCCTCCTCCTCCTCCTCCTCCTCCTCCACCTCCTCCTCCTCCACCTCCTCCACCTCCTCCTCCACCTCCTCCTCCTCCTCCTCCTCCTCCTCCTCCTCCTCCTCCTCCTCCTCCTCCTCCTCCTCCTCCTCCTCCTCCTCCTCCCCCCGGCCAGGTCTTGCCGAGCCGGCGGCCACAGGCTCCTGTCAGGAACCCCGTCGAGGACCCCCGCCCCTGACACCGACGGGGGCATGTGCTCTTCTCTCGCGAGCGCGTCGGCAAGCGCCCTGACAGGCGGCGGCTCCATTGGGAATGGAAAAATAAAGTTGTGTGTTCCTTGCCCCCTTTCCCTGCCTGCTCTCACTACTTAGGTTATTCTCCCTGCTACCCATAGCTGCCATAAGCGCACAATACCTTCTTGCCAGCTACTTAGATGGTCGACTTCGGCTTGCAAAACCTGATCAAAGCTTTGCTGGCCTTACAGAGGAGCTATTCGCACATTTGATGGTCGACATATACTTCGAACTGAGAGGCTCCTAACCTCCTTCCTTACGACCGGGCGGTGATGGCCAACTTGCAGCCTCTGGGAGCATAGTTGGGGCCTCTTAGGGGAATATTGGGGGCAATCGGAGCTTTGTTGGGCCAAGATCTCGGGTCCGCCGACAACCTGGATGCACTGGACCGCGTTGGCGTGTACTGGGGCGTCGTCAATCTTCGACCTAGGAATGGTACTACGGTCCACAGGTTTTCCAGCCCTCAGGGCCATAGAACCATGCACCGTACCGCGCAAGAGCGGAGTCTGAAGAGAATCAAAGCATGGTACAGCGCATGGGCGCCGTTCACGTATCGGGGGCATCTTGGGATCTGGGAGGACCACCGTGCCAAGCTTGCGACGTCGTGTTTTCCACTGCCCAGTTCCAGACCTCTCGGCACCAGTCTCGGGACCAGTTTGCAAGCCGGGTCGTTTCGGACGGCCTTGGGGCGCAGAAGGAGCCCGTGGGCGCTGAGATTTGGATCGGAGGTTGGGGGGTGAGATCGCAGTTGAACGGAGAGCCCCCCACTGGGAGATCGGGTTCGGTCTCGTGTTCGTGTCGCGCGCGCGGGCGAGGCGGGAGCTGCGCGGGCGTGCGCGAGGAGTGACCCCATCCGCCCCCGGTGGGCGCGCGGTGGCGCCGTGTGTCCCGAACTGGTGTCCTGTGGTGTCATGCTGGTGTGCCGTTGGTGGTGGCCGGGGGTGTCCTACCCTGGTACCGATAGTGAAGTAGACAGTGAGATCGATGATGAGATCGCCAGAGCGGGACGACAGTGAGATCAACTGTGGCTTCGACGGTGAGACTGATGGTGACATTGGTCGTGAGGTAGCAAGTGGGGACGTTAGTAATATTACATGTTATAGCAACATCGCTATCACGCGTCATCGCTAACTCGAGGGCGCGCCACCACGCGAGCGCCGGCATCGACCTGCTGGGGCCCAGTGAGGGCCTCCAGAGGCCGCAGGCGGCCGAGAACAAAAAATGTCCGCCGAGAGTTCTCCTTCACGACGCGGGGACGTCAGAGTCCGTCCCCCCTCCATCCTCGAAGTTCTCCCCTGCACTACCCTTGGAAAGCAATACAACTCTCGCGCGCTGCCCGTCTCCCCGCGCCCCTCCTTTTTCATGTTTCCGCAAGGGGCGCCGCGCGATCCGATTTTCCCGCCATCGGCCGCGGCTGGCTCAGCGTCGAGATCAGGAGTCCGGCGGGGGGAACCAAGACATTGAAAAAATCGTGGGTTTGTGTGTGTATGTGTGTATGTCGAACGGGGAAGTGCCGCCTAGGCCTCTGTTCGCTGGCGCGTTAGGCAATTAGGTTCGCGCGCGGCCCGCCCGTCCCGTTTGACGCCGCCTGCGCTTTCGCTTGCGGCTGCGACAAAAAAGTGTGTCGAACGGGGTTGGGACGAGAATAAAGCCGCTCCAAGGCGTTCTGGAACGCTCTCAGAGCCTTGCGGAACGCTCTGGGAAGGCCGTTGCGCCCGAGACATCCTCCAGAGCCGCCGGATCTCAGAGATTCTCGATTGTCCTCACCCGAAGTTGTCCTCGCCCTGGCTTCGTCTGAGGAGGAGGAGGAGGAGGAGGAGGAGGAGGACGAGGAGGAGGAGAAGGGGGAGGAGGAGGAGGAGGAGGAGGAGGCAGGAGGAGGAGGAGGAGGAGGAGGAGGAGGAGGAGGGGAGGAGGAAGGAGGAGGAGGAGGAGGATTTGTGGAGGAGGATTTGTCCTCGGAGGAGGAGGAGGACCTGTCCTCACCCGAGGTTGTCCTCGTCCTGGCTTCGTCTCGCCGCAGGGGGCCCCGGCGTCGGGGCCCCGGGATTCCGTTGGCTGCCCGTCTGCCCCTGGGCCCGTCGGCGCCCCTCGCGGCGCCTGGGCCCCTGGGCCCCGCGGCGCCCGCGCCAGTCTGCGAGGGCGCGGCGGCGCGCTGCGGCGGCGCGGCCGCGGCGGGGAAGGCCGAGCCAGCCCCAGACCCGACCCGACGGCGGCAGTCTCTCGGGGGGGGGGGGGAGCGGCTCGGACATTGCCCAGCCGTGCTGGGTGACGTCTCGACAGAGGGGGAGGAGGAGGAGGGAGAGAGGAGAGGAGGAGGAGGGAGGGAGGAGAGGAGAGGAGAGGAGGACGAGGACGAGGAGGAGGAGGAGGAGAGGAGGAGAGGAGGAGGATTGAGGAGGAGGAGGAGGGGGAGGAGAGGAGGAGGAGGAGGAGAGAGGAGGAGGAGGAGGAGGAGGAGAGGAGAGGAGGAGGAGGAGGAGGAGGAGGAGGAGGGGGAGGAGGAGGAGGAGGAGGAGGAGGAGGAGGAGGAGGAGGAGGAGGAGGAGGAGGAGGGGCCAGCGAACTACTCCACCTTCTCAAGCAAACATCATAAAGTCTGGCAAAAAAATGCGCCGGGGCTCTCCGAATCCAACCGGGTCTTCCCAAACCAACCAGGCTTTGCCAATCTAGGCCCCCGGGTCTTCCAGACCGAGTCTCCGAGGTTTTGCCAAATTACCCGGGTCTTCCCAAACCAAGCCCCAGATCTTCCCAAACCAATCGGATCTTGCCAAACCAACCAAGTGTTGCCAAACCTACCGCCCGGGCCTTCCCAAACCAACCGGGTCTTCCCAAACCAATTGGGCCTTCGGAAATTTTGCCGCGCACCTTCCCAAACCAAGCTCACAGATCTTCCAAACCAGCCAGGTCTTCCCATACCAACCAGGTCTTCACAAAACGGGCCCCGGATCTTCCCAAACCAAGCGGGTCTTCCCAAGCCAAAGCTCTAAAGGCAACGCCTCTCCAAGGGGACTTCCCTCCTGCCTTCTGCCCCCTCCCCTCCCCTGCTGCCGCCTCCCCAGCCCTGGCTCTCCACCCCACTCCCCTCCCCATCTTGCCCCCCATCGGCGGGAGGTGGGGAGGGGGAAGGGCCAGGGAGGCAGGAGAAGCGGGGGGCGGCAGGCAGGAAGACTTGTTCCACATCAATCAGGCCAAACCACCTTGTACACACCCCTCCCTGCAGCAGGCAGTCTGCCCTGCCGATTTGGGGAGGGAGAACCAAAAAGGCCGCTCGCGACTGGGACGGCCCCAGGTCGAGCGGAACGCCACGCTTGGGATGCTGCCCCTTAAGGGATGCAAGACCACGTCTGACGGCTTCCGTTGTCGCGCGGGTGCTGGGTCGGGGGTCCAGAGCATTTCTTGCGGAGGCCCATGATTTGCCCGCCCAACGTGTAGTGACAGCATCTGGCGCAAACTGCAAAAACGAAACCTTCACCACTGTTGGTGTCGAAATGTGCAGGCCTGCGGCCGAGATCTACCACCAAAGTCTGGCCTGTGATGCCTTTTGATGATCGTCGCACCTTTGCACTGGCCAGGCTGCGGCTTCCAGGGCCGCACGGGAGCACGCTGAGCAAATCCAATGTGTGTTGTGTCCCAGTGCCAGCCGTGAGGGGATGGAGGGGGAGGTCTCGGAGCGGAGGGGGCTTTTCCCAGAGGACCCCTATTGAGATCCAACCTGGGCCAACGAGGCATGTCTTGCGCACAAAACTTGCGCACGGCACGTGAAATTCACAATACACGGGCAACTTGCTCAACCTCGTTTGGCGATGGTTGCGGGTGTCGCTGAGCAGCGGCGTTTGCCGTTTTGTCAGCAAGGTCGTTGCCGTATTCATGTTCAAGCTGCTCTGGCGGTCAGTGGTCTCCGTGACATGCCCTTGGACCTTCAGAGCCCACCCCGTGTTGTGACCCAGAGCTTGGGCCATGAATCCAGCATATGACCGACAATACGAGATCCTGGCCTGGATGGTCCATACGACATGTAAGCAAGAATTGCACACATAACCTGAACTCGTACCACACCGAACGACCATGCAGCAGGCTGCAAACTCAGACGCGTGTGAGATCTGAGGACAGTGGACCAGAAGCAGGCCTGACATGCACTGCACTGGGCCCGCCTCTTTAGAAACGGAAACAAAAGACCACCCCGCCCTAGAGAGCTCTGGACTAACGCTCTTGAAACAAGAGCCGTCGACGTGCAGTCGGCCTTCCAAGGCCGTGGACGCATTCCCCGGATGTTCAGGCCGCTCAACCTCAAAACCCGATTTGGGGACCGAGTCCAGAACAGAGTCCCGCGCGCAGGGGCCATCATGGGGTCAACATGTCGAAAGACGAAGAGCATGTTGCCGCATAGCCGATCGACAGGAAACGACATTGTGCTACAGGTTTGACAACTTTCTGTGCGACTCGGTTTCGAATCCGCTCCAAACGCCCCGGGGGCACGACTGCACAAAAAGTCGCACAGGCGGCTAGAGCATCGGCTAAGCCCGCGACCAAAGCCAGAGAATTGAGACCAAGCAGCTCATCATTCTCTTACCCCTCCTCCGAAAGAGGCTCGCTTCCCTTTTTCCCTCGGGAGGGAGAGGAAGAGGGATGAGGGAGAAGGGGGCGGAGGGAGGAGGGAGGGCGGAGGAGGAGGAGGTGGAGGAGGAGGAGGAGGATGAGGAGGAGGAGGAGGAGGAGGAGGAGGGAGAAGGGTGGAGGAGGGAAGAGGGCGTAGCGAGGAAGGAGAAAGGATGGGCGGAAGGAGCAGGAGGAGCAGCAGCAGGTAGAGCAACGGCAGCATGAGCAGCGGGACGTAGGAAGGACTAGAGAGGGGAAGGGGAACGAAGCCCTCGCAGGCTCGTTTAGCCTTGGATTTGGGTGGCGGGGCGCCCCGAACGCCATTGCTGGCTCCAAGGACACGCCCCTGGTCGCCTCCTACAGGTAGGCGAATGTAGTACTAGCGAAATGTCTGACAGACTGTCGCCTCCCTGCTCCTGCCTGCTGTCCGTGTAAGCCTGTGCCGCGGCACATTCGCACAAGAACTCCTTGCTCTGAGTGTGCTCCGCCGCCCGCGCGGGTTCCATCATTTGGTTTCCACGGTAGCATAACCAGACGTCGAGACTCTTCATCCCCCTCCTCCTCCTCCTCCTCAGCCCTCCTCATCCTCCTCTCCTCCCTCCTCCTCCTCCTCCTCCTCCTCCTCCTCCTCCTCCTCCTCCTCCTCCTCCTCCCTCCTCCTCCTCCTCTCCTCCTCCTCCCTCTTCCCCCTCTCCCTCTTCCTCCTCTCTCTCCTTCCATCCTCCCCCTCCTCCTCCCCCTCCTCCTCCTCCCTCCTCCTCCTCCCATCCCTCCTCCTCCTCCTCGTCCTCCTCCTCCTGCTCTCCCCTCCTCCCCTCCTCCCCCTCCTCCCCCTCCTCCTCCTCCTCCTCCTCCTCCTCCTCCTCCTCCTCCTCCGCCCCCTCCGAGAGGCACTGGTGCATCCCCCGCCGTCCCGGCAGCGGCTCAGAGCCAGGCCGCCGCCGAGCAAGAGTTCTACGGATTGTGAGCGGATTTTTCGTGGCCTGTGCGCGGGCCCCTTCGCGGTTCCGATCGACCTTGGCAGGATTCGTAATGTCGTTCGTGCATTACAGTCGGGGCCCTGAAGAAGGAACCCTTTTCGTTGGGGAGGGGCTCGGTGTTCCTTGATTGGGCTGCAGTTTGCCTTCGGTTTTCCTGAGGTTTTCCATGGGAAATCGGAGTTCAACTTATGGGAGAAAGGGGCCCCGTTCCTTATTTAGGGTTCCTTAGGTCAACGCCCCGACTGTACTCGTGTGGAGCGATGGGGTAGACATGTAACTCGTCGCACTTCTTCCGATGGGCAAAGGTTTTGAATTCTCCTTCCGAGATACGATCCACGAGTATCATCCCCGACCCCATTTTCTCGCAAGCAAAGTACGGAAAGGATCGTGCATTTGATCGAGTCGCGTGAAATCTCCACTTTGCGCGCCCCGCGCACGTGCACAGCGCGAAGAACGTGCGTCAACTTCTGGACGAGGAGGAGGAGAGAAGGAGGAGGAGGAGGAGAGGAGGAGGAGAGGAGGAAGATGAACCAAGTGGGCGTGCCTCGCAAACACTTTTGTGTTCCGCCGCCGCCCGGGCAGAGGCGATAAGCACCAGCGCGGGGGGCGGATCGAGGTCACCGATAGGAAAGTTGTCCTGCTCCTCCTCCCTCTCCTCCACTCCTCCTCCTCCTCCTCCTCCTCCTCCTCCTCCTCCTCCTCCTCCTCCTCCTCCTCCTCGCAAGAGAGAGAGATAGAGGAGAAGACGAGGGCGGCCGCGCGGGGGGAGAAGGAAGTAGGCGCTCAGACGTGGAAGAGTTCCGCGGTGAGCGGGCTGGAGCGGCCAGCCAGGGCAGCGGGGACCGCGGCGACGCCGGGGCCGGGACCAGGGCGCACCCGCGGGCGCTGCCAGGGCGCAGCGGCGGTAACGAGCAAGTAGAGCTAGTTCTGGAGCCCGAGGACTGCCATCAGCAAAATGCTGGATCCACCAGGGGCATCGACCGTGCGGTGCCCACTGACTAGCGCGGCAGCCGCGTCAGGGGCCGGGCGTCGCGTCGAAGCGGCACCGGATGGGGAAGCCGAGCTGCACGCCGAGGGCGAAGCAGCAAGGCGGCTCTATGGCGGCGCGAGGTGAGGGAGGAAAGAAGGCGAGACCCGCCCGCGGGTGGCACCCGCCGGGCGGGGCGGCAGCAGCCCGCGGGGCAGCGCGAGCGGCGGCACGGCTGAGCGCTGGGAGGCACCCGTCGATGCAGAGACCAGGTGGTGGTGGCGCAAGACTCAGGCCAAAGGGCCAGCGCGGGTGCCTGGCAACGGGCCCGCGCGCCAGGGCGGCGCGGAGCCAGGGCCATGGGGGCCTGGGTGGCACTCGAGGGGCAGGTGGCGCGCCTCGCGGGGCGGCGGAGGCACGCCAGGAGAGGGGAGGCGACGGGGGCCGCCGCGGCGAGGGGGGGAGAAGTAGAAAACAAACGACACCACCCCACCTACGGCCCCACGGGGCTGAGCGTATACCAGGAGATCTGGCGTGGGCTTTTTGCGTGGTATACGCTACGGCCCCCGATGGGCCGCAGCGCAATATGGAGGGCCGTAGGTAGGGTGGTGTCGTTTGTTTTTCGGTCGAAGAGGAGAAGAGAACGCACCTGAGCGGCGCAACGACTTATGAAAACAGGGCTGCGCGCCGCCTGGGCGGACAGCCCGCAGCCAGAGGAGAAAAGAAAACGCACCTGAGCTGTGCAACGCCTTGTGTAAGCAGGGCTGCGCGCCGCCCGGGCAGGCAGCGCGCAGCCTGAAGAGGAGGGGAGAGGCTGAGCCAGGTAGGCGTGGGGGCGACTGTGGGATCAGTCGCTGCTGTCGCGTTATCGGCTGATCAAGCTGGCAAGGTTTACTTGGCCTTGGGGGATGCGGCGAGGAAGGTCAGAGCCAGGTCTGCGGGGACCGGTACTGTTATAGGCCGCGTACCCCGCTCTGGGGCCAGGCAGGATCGGCATGCCGCTTGACTTTCCCCTGCCAGCCACCGCCTTTCCCCTCGCCTTAGCCGTCGCTGTCACGACCTTGGGCCCTGGATTCCCTGTGGCGCTGGCGCTGCCAGACCCTGTCCCAATCTACGTGGATGTCGGGTGCCCAGCAGAGGCGCCGGATGTCGTAGCGCCACCAGGCCAGGTGGGTGAAGAAGTGTTCGCAGAAGTTGTCCTGGCCGTGAGGGCTCTACGTACCCCTCCCTTTGCCTTTGCCGTCGCGCTGGTCGCAGGCGCCGTTCCACCCCTCGACGAACAAGGCACGACAAGGCACGACACTCTCTCCTGTAGCCGGTGGACCACCTCGGGCCACGTTTCTCAGGCGCCAGTCTTGCAGCTCCAGGTCCGATCCTAGTTGATGGCCTGGTGGGGTCGCGCGCACAGGTAGTCGCTGGGGTCGTTCTCGTCCACGCAGCCCGGGTCGGCGCGGTGCTGGGCCCAGGATCCTCCTCGAGTCGTGGTCGAGCGGGCTGCGTCTGCTGTCGGGTGCCGAGGCACAGGCGCCCGTCCCTCGGTGGTCCGCCCAGGCGGAGCTGCGGGGGGGGGCTCTGGCGTCGGAGGCATGCCCGGGGTGGTCCCGTGCCTGTGTCCGAGGAGCCTTCTGCACCCGTCCGCCTGAGGGTGCGGCCCTCGCCGCGTCTGGTCCGCTGGGAGAGCCGCCGCCTGGCGGTCCGCCTGATGCAGGCCCAGGCGCCTGAGCGGTGGCTGGGGCTGGGTCCCCAACATCTTGCGTGTGTCCGGCAGCGGCTCGGGGAGCGTCCTTGTTTTCTGGGCCGTCCTTTGGGATGACCCATGCCAGGAGCGAGCGGTCCATTCTGTCCCAGACCGTAGGCCAGGCGTCTCCCAGCCCTGGCGCTGAGAAATCGCCTGCTGTCACCTGGGACCTCCAGTTCGGCCCTGCAAACACGATGGGTGGACTAAAAGTGTCCACGCGCCCATCGCGCGAGAAAACGCTTCGGCGAAGTGCATCCAAAAACAAATAATTGGCTCTCTCCCCCCCAACCCAAAGTTGACAGAGGTGCACGCGAGGCAACGCGCGAAGGGCAAGATGTGAACCCTTCAACTTTGGGCTTGGGGGGAGGGGGTTGGGACATACGTGATGCAAGATGCCACCCAACATCACGTCGTGAGGTCTTCGCGCCATTGCTGTGGACGCTCTTTGTCCGGCCACCGTCCCGGGTAGACGTATTAGTGGCCTCGTGGGTACCAACACGCACGTACGCGCACATGTAATGTAACGTGTGTTTGTGCGTGCGCATGCGTTCACCAGTACACCATCATTCGCCTATTTACGCTTAGGTGAGACCATTAGATACCCGCGGGGCCACCGCGGGACGATCCAAAGGACAACCGCGGAATAACCCATGTGACAAACGCGGGACAAGTTACGGGACAGCCACGGGACAATTCATAGGACTATTTCAACCGAGCCCAAGCGCAAGCCCGAATCCGAGCCCGAACGCGGGTTTGAGACGAAGCCCGAGCCCGGGGCCCGAGCCAGAGAACGAGCCCGATCCTGAGCGCGCGTGCGCGCGCGCGGGCGCCTGCGCGTGCGCGCGTGTGCGCATGCGTGCGCATGCGTGCGCGTGCGCATCCGAGTTGTAGCATGCGGTCAGGGAAAAAGAACAAGGAAAAAAACTGCTAACAGCCTTCACTTGACTGTAGGCCGGCCTAGGACGAGGACGCATCGTGTCGCGTCTTCCCAGACGCTCTCACAGCGTTCTGGAGCGCTCTCCCGGACGGCCGTGGCTCCGGACAGAGCCGCCGGCTCTCCGAGATATCCCCGACCTGTCCATGTTGATCCTCCTCCTCCTCCTCCTCCGACCCGCCGGCTCTCAGAGATCCCCGACCTATCCCGTCCGACTTGTCCAGGAAGGGACGACGACGGTCTTGCGGCAAGACCGTTTGCCGACGCCTCATTCCTCTCTCAGAGATTTTAGCTCCGCGCATGGGGGCAGCGTTGCCGGAAGAGTTGCGGTCGGGAAGTTTTGGATAGTGTGTGTCGCTTTGGCCCATCATGCTCCGGCGCGGCACGCTGGCCATGTCCCTGTCCCCTAGCTTTCCCCAGCCTCCCGCCCCGCGGAGCGGAGCGACGCGCTATCCGTTCGCAATGCATAGCGTGTCGCTGGGGCCGCCGCGGCGACACGCTAAGCAAAGGTCCCCGACCGCATCCTCGCCCGAATTTACATCCGGACCGAGGTATATGATCGAGGTCGGTTCGGGGAGGCACCTTGATGCTCTTCGCGCTTGTTGGATGTTCTTGTGCATCCGGGGGGGACGGGGGGGGGCACCCTCGAATGTTCCTCAGCTTGGGCTGGCGGAGGGTCTCACGTTCTTGAAGGATGTTCTGTGGTTCCAGGTCCGATTGTATCATCACCTGAGCGACGCAAAAAAACGAGGCCGTCTGCGCCGACATCGGCGCGTAAGCTGCCCGCGTAAGCTCGCGCGTAAGCGCCCTCGTCTCCAATTGTGGCGTGCCGCGCCGGCAGCCCGCGTAAGCCACCGCGTAAGGTCGCTTCGCCATCCCGCGTAAGACCCACCCTTTTGGGTATAGCCAGGACCTCTGGTAAGGGGACCCGGTTAGTAGTAGGGCCCCAGAGCCTTTAAATTTGCTAGAATCACTGAACCAGGTCTGCCGTAGCCGGTGTTTTTTTCGGCTGACGGCAGCTCCGGTCAGTGGAACGGGGCGGGGGGAGCGTCCCCCAGTACACATCACTGAACCAGGTCCCACTAAACCCAGTTCTGCCAACGCCCGACTCTTGATCGTCGCTCACCTGGCCTTCGCCGTAGACCTCCCACCTGCCCCAGCGTGAGTGCTGTTTTCCTCGCCTGCCAGGCACCACTCCGTGGCACGCGGAGGCGCAGTCTTGCTGTGGTGACCTGCAGTGCTCACACATCGAGGTAGTATCGCCTCTGCTGGGGAAAAAAACAAAAGAAAACAAAACAACAGAAAAATAAGCAACAAAAAAACAAAAAAAAAAAAAAAAAAAAAATGAAAAAAAACATGTAATATATATATATGTATAACAAACAAAAAAAGAAGGAAACAAAAAAAACGTGGGCTGCAGAGCGTCGGGTCGGCCACTGGGGCCGCCTCGGGCTCGGAGAGGCCGCCCCGGCCAGGCCCTGCCCGGGCCCCCCGGCGCCACGGCCTCCTCAGGGGTGCGAGGGGCCGCCGCCAGAAGGCGCCGAGGCTGCGGCGTCGTGCGGCATGTTGGCGGCGCGAACCGGGCGGGGGGGGGGGCGGAGGAGGAGGAGAGGAGGAGGAGGAGGAGGAGGAGGAGGAGGAGGAGGAGGAGAGGAGGAGAGGGAGAGAGGAGGAGGGGAGGAGGAGGAGGAGGGTGAGGAGGAGGAGGGGGAGGAGGGAGGAGGAGGGAGGAGGAGAGGAGGAGGAGGGGAGGAGGAGGGAGGAGGAGGATGAGGAGGATGAGAGGAGGAGGAGGGGGAGGAGGAGGGGGGGAGAGAGGAGGATGGGAGGAGGAGGAGGAGAGGAGGAGGATGGAGGATGAGGAGAGGAGGATGAGGAGGAGGAGGAGGAGGAGGTGGAGGAGGAGGGGAGAGAGGAGAGGGGAGGAGGAGGAGGAGGAGGAGGAGGAGGGGGAGGAGGAGGAGGAGGGAGGAGGAGGAGGAGGAGGAGGAGAAGGAGGACCAGGAAGAAGAGGAGGAAGAGGAGGAGGAGGGGGGGGTCCCAGGGCAGTCTCAATGACGAGGACGATGACGACGACGAGGACGATGACGACGACGATGACGACGATGACGACGACTACGACAACGACGACGACGACGACGACGACGACGACGACGACGACGACGACGACGACGACGAGGACGACGAGGACGACGACGAGGACGACGACGAGGACGACGACGAGGACGATGACAATGACGAGGACGGTGCTCGGGCAGCGCCAGTGTCAGGCACAGCGCCAGCGGGGGTAGAGGCTCCAGGGGGGGGTGCGCATCGACGCCCGATGGCCCAGCCCTCGCCGACGGGGACCCGATGGCCCACCCCGTCCAGGAGCGTGTGGTTTCGCTCGCAACGGGCCCCGCCGATTCCAGGTCGACGCTTTCCTCCCTGAGCCGAACGTTGCCCCTCACAACAGCGGGGTCGCCATCTCCTCCGGGAAACCAGGAGGATCGGAGGTCGATGAGATTTTGGACGCCTTTGGGCGTCCTTGGGGAGTCCAGGGGGTGTTCTGGGCAGTTCGTTGTTCCTGGAGGAGGGGGCGGCCCCGTCAGCGGTAGCCCTCCCAGGAAGTGCCCGGAGGGCGAGGGGGGGGGGGGGGGGGGGGGGGGGGGCGGCCGTCTGAGAGGGCAAGCCCCGCCGCTTCCATGCCCTGCCGCCTTCTCAGAGGTGTCAGGGGCGCCGTCCCCTTCTGTGACGCCCCCCTCGCCTCGCCCCAAGATGTATGTATGTATGCGGCCGGAGGGAAGCTCGGAAGGCGAGGCTGACGCCACGGAAGGGGATGGTTTGCTGTGGGTCGGTTCAGGGCCGTCGTCTGGGAAGGCCGCCCCCCTCGCCCAGCCACCTGCTGCGCGCCGCCAAGCGTCCACGGGCCAGCCCACGCAGAGCCCGACGCCCTGGACCTGGAGATCAGCAGCAGCTGGATCGCGCTGTGAGCCCGGCGCAGCGGCGTCGAAGAGGTGTGCGCTGCGTGCAGCTACGCGCATACCCGCTGCCATGCATTCGTGGTAGGTTTTTTCTGCTCTAGTCGGCCCCGGCCGAAGCAATACCGTTGCAAGGTGCACCGTTGCTATGTACATAGCCCACCATGATGCCCCCTCTCCCGGTTCATTGCCCGTGTCCTTTGCATAATCTTTGATTTTCAGTTCGCACGTCTACGGGTGTGTACTTCTTTGGTGGATGCACGATACTGTTTGAACCCCGTTTAGATCGAATTCAGTGCCTTTCCTGGCAGCGTGATAGTGCGTGCGGACGCATTCGGGTACAGCGGGAGGTCACGAGCATGTTAGCTCACTTCTCCGATTCCGCCGTGCACGCACTTACGTAGCGGCCCTGGGACGCCCAGACGTTGCAGGTTGCACAGGGAAGCTAGACGTTGGCGCAATGTGAAGTCTATTTGTGTTTGACCGATCCACGGGATAATGTGCCATGAACCTTCATGTGTCTGCACCATGCCTGACAATCTAGAGTCAAAGAGGCCGTGCAGTCACTCGGGATCTCTAGCTTGGGCTCCCATCGGTCAGATCGGCGGATTTTTTGTTGCCCCCCTGCATCGAGCGGTGTTCTGGCTCCGCGGTGCAGCGAATCGGCCACATGCTGAAATGCATGAAGTGTGATTACGATGTTGGGGAGCGCGCTGTCAAAATAAGGAGGTGTTTGTGCTCGCGCCTCCATGACTCTCCCACAAGAGGGCATCAGATCCCAGTGGGTATACGTGATGCGGGACGGCTGCAAGATACCGAAATGATTATGTTGATGCCCGCTGCTGGCCAGCAAGCCACCGTCGCCGTTGGAGAGTACGAAGGAAGTCCCAAATGCAGCTGTCTTCACTTGGCGGCCTCACCCAGAACGAAGTGCCTGGAATGGTTCAGCTCGACGCGAGGGCATTGCGGCAGGGGCGGCCAGTCGGAGAAGGAGGAGAGGAGGAGGAGGCTGGAGGAGGAGGAGGAGGAGGAGGAGGAGGAGGAGGAGGGCGGCCAGTCGGGCAGCGGCTGCGCAGTGACCGATTTGGAAGGCGGTCAATCGGCTCCGCCCGGGGGGCAGCAGCAGCAGCAGCAGAAGGGAGGAGGCACCCGGCGGAGGAGGAGGAGGAGGCAGCAGGAGGAGGGGCAGAGAGGAGGGGAAGCAAAAGACCGGGGGGCGAGGAGAGGGGGAGCAGGAGAAGGAGCAGGAGAAGGAGGGGAAGCAGGGAGAGAGAGAGAGAGAGGGAGGGGGAAGAAGGAGGGGCGAGGGGAGGGGGGAAAGGAGGAGAACGGAGAAGCGAGGGAGCCGGAGGAAAGGGAGGGGTGAGGTGAGACGGGAAAGAAGGAGAGGAGGGAAGAAGGAAGAGAAGGAGAAGGAAAGGGAAGGAGGAGAAGGGAGCGGAAAAGGGAGCCCTGGGCCGGGGTGGATTGGGGCTTGGTGCGGCAGCTGGGCCAGGGACAGGGCGCCGTGGGCAGGCACCTCCGCCGAGGTCGGCGCCTCGGCGCTCGTGCGCAGGCCAGCCCGCCGAGGGCCACTCGACTCGGCGGCGCCACCGTTCGGAAGGTCAGGCGGTCGCAGACACGCCTCCTCCTCCTCCTCCTCCTCTCCTCCTCCTCCTCTCCTCCTCCTCCTCCTCCTCCTCCTCCTCCTCTCCTCTCCTCCTCCTCCCCTCCTCCTCCTCCTCCTCCTCCTCCTCCTCCTCCTCCTCCTCCCTCCTCCTCCTCCTCCCTCCTCCTCCTCCTCCTCCTCCTCCTCCTCCTCCTCCCTCTCCTCCCTCTCCTCCTCCTCCCTCTCCTCCTCTCCTGCCCTCTCCCCCCTCCTCCTCCTCCTACTCCTCCTCCTCCTCCTCTCCTCCCTCCGCCTCCCCTCCTCCTCCTCCTCCCTCCCTCCTCCTCCCCTCCTCCTCCTCCTCCTCTCCTCTCCTCCTCCCTCCTCCTCCTCTCCCTCCACCTCCTCCTCCTCCTCCTCCTACCTCCTCCTCCTCCTCTTCCTCCTCCTCCTCCTCCTCCTCCTCCTCCTCCTCCTCCTCCTCCTCCTCACTTCCTCCTCCCTCCTCCTCCCTCCTCCTCCCCTCCTCCTCCTCCTCCTCCTCCTCCTCCTCCTCCTCCTCCTCCTCCTCCTCCTCCCCTCCTCCTCCTCCTCCTCCTCCCTCCTCCTCCTCCTCCTCCTCCTCCTCCTCCTCCTCCTCCTCCTCTCCTCCTCCTCCTCCTCCTTCCTCCTCCTCCTCCTCCTCCTCCTCCCTCCTCCTCCTCTCCTCCTCCTCCTCCTCCTCCTCTCCTCCTTTCCTCCCTCTCTCCTCCTCCTCCTCCTCCTCCTCCTCCCCCTCCTCCTCCTCCGTTGTTTGGCTTGCTGGGCCAGCCTGCTTTCTCACCTCGCACTCGCTGGTCAGGCGATCGCAAACATGGATCAAGGGGGCGTGGATCAGCGACGGGCCCCGCTTCCATGGGAGAAAGCGCGGACTTCCGCCGCCGGAGGAGGCGGCACGGGCCGCATTCTGGGGAGGGCACCTCACCCGATCCATGGATTTGGCGACCGCGCGCCAAACCCATGGATCGCTAATCCAGGTCTGCGCGCCCCCGAGGAAGGGACTCCTCCTCCACTCGAGGAACAAAAAACGGCATTGTAAACATGGTTTCTCGGAGGTCCGCGCGGATTCCTTGGCTCGGCATTGGACCCCATCTGCGGCGCCTCCGGCGCCGCCCTTGGCACACTCCGCGCAATAGGGAGAGAGGCCCAGTGCCGATCCAAGAAGTCCGCGTGGACCTCCGAGAAGTGATGTGTATGCAGTTGTGCTGTTCCTCTATCCGTAGCCATTTGGGCTCAAGCGAGCTTTCTCGGCGCCCCTTCCGATGGGAATCCGCTTGAAGGCTACCCCGCGCGCGCACAGATCATGGCACCTGCGGCGCCTCCGCCACGCCACCGTCACGGCGTGGAGCCCATGCTCGAGACTGACCAGGTGAGTTCGTCGGAGTGCTTGCTTGATTGTCCGTCGCGGCAAGAACTTCGGCAGTTTGCGACAGAGATCTCGGAGGAGACCGCTATGGCAGTAGATGGCACGGCGTTGGAGGACATGATGGGGCAGCATTGGCCAGTGTTCACCGTGGTGCAGGCAACCGTCGTCATCCTCCTGTGGCTTGCGAGCGTCGTGCGGACGCGGCAGCCAAATGCCAGGTCTGGTCTGGACCTGTTCTTCGTGCCAGCTGGGCAGACTCTACTCATGGCGCACCAGGACTGCGAGGACAGGCGCTGGGAGGCTTGGCGTTGGTTCACGTACCAGTTCACCCACGACAATCTCGGCGGCGTGCCGAGGGGGGAAGAGGGGGCAAGCCTTCTCAGAAGGCGGCGGGGCTTCTCAGAAGCCCCCTGCGGCTTCGGAGAAGGCTTGGAAAGCTCCTCAGAAGGCCCTCCCGAGCCTGTGAGAAAGCCCGCCCCGTCCTGCCTTCCCCCTGGGCGCGCCTCTGAAGTCTCTCCCACATGGGATCTAATTTGTTCATCCTCTTGCTCGTGGGCATCCCGGCAGAGTCGTTTCAGGGTGGCGTGCGCGTGGCCACCATTTTCAACGCGGGGGTTGTGGCCGCGGCGTTCTTGCACTTCGGGAGCACACCTCACTCTTGGATGTTGGGCATGTCAGGCGGCTGTTTCGCTTTGATTGGAATGCAGTGCGCCGAATTGGGCATGAATTGGTTTCAGAATAAGTTCCGGCTCGTGAAGTCACTGGTGTTGTTGATAATGGTATGCAGCATGATTTTTGAGGTGGATTTGGGGCACTTGCTTCGCTTATCGGATCGGTTCGACCATTGGGGCCATTTCGGTGGACTCGTGATGGGACTGATGTTGGGCGTTGTGCTCGGAAGGAAGATCCACGAGGAATGGCGCAAGACAACTGCGCAACTTGTATGTTTTGCCGTAGCCGTATTGTCCATTATGCTCTGTTGCCTTTGGATGACGCGATGGCCACCAAAGGGTGTTTGGGATGGTGATGATTGGTGTTGGGCTCGCTTGGTTCATAATCAGTCGCATTTTGGAGACGCGTCGTGGCATTGCGTTCGCTGTATCACAGACGCGTGCATCTCTTCGTGGACTCACCTTTCTTCGGGAGCTCTCCGGCGAACCGCATGGACGTATTGTGAAGACGTGATCGGATGGGATGGCAAACCTTGGTGAGAAGTCACCATCGACGGTCGCGCGCGAGGGCAAAGACTTTCAGGCGATAGATTGATCATCACTCGAGCTGCGTCCTCCCGAGAGTGCATAGCAGCAGCAGCGGCGGCGGCAGCAGCAGCAAGGGCAGCTTCCGTAGAGGAACGCCGCCAGACCGAAGTGTCGAGCAGCGGCGGCAGCAGCAGGCGGTGGCGAACGGTCGGGGCGGCTCGGGGGAATGCCCATTAGATGGAAATATTCGAACCCTTACATGTTCGACGGGATTTCTGATCATCCCCCACCCCGCCCCCGAAACCAATGCTGATCTCAGTTAGGTGGTGTTTTGGAGGTTCGAATATTTCTGTCCACTCGCGCCCCCTCCAGCGTGGCCCCCTCACTATTGATTCCGGCGGGTCCGAGGGGCATCTTCGGCCACAGGGTTCGAATACAATGTCCATGTACGGTCCCAGGGAGAGGGATTCGGACCGAGGGGGTGATTGCGCGCCTTGCAGCCTGAAGCAGCCAGCGGCTCCGCGAGCACAGCCCTCGAAGGGGCTCCAGCGACCGGCTGCGCGCAACTGGCCAGCTGGCCCCCCTTTTGTTGCTGAGGCCCCCCCTCTTGGCGCATTCGGAGCGGCAGCAGCGGCAGCGGCACGTTCTGCTGCAATGCAGTGGAGCTGACAGTCGAGGATCATGTGTTGCACGACGTCGAGACCATCGGACATGGTGATGCGTTTGATGTCCCAGGGCGCCCACCACAGGGTAACTCCCAAAGCACCCAAAACAGCAGCAGGGTCGGATCTGTCTGGGGCTCGGCGCAATGTCACACTGGCGCTGCAAATGTGCTACCCCAGCGGCGCGCCACAAGCAGGGTAGGAGGCTACCTCTGCCAAATATCCGTCGGACTCTTGCTAGCTGCGAGGTCGGTTTCAAGCCTCCTGAGCTCTCCCAGGGTGCCCCCTTCACAGACCTCTCTTGCAGTTCAAGACCACGCGCTGCCGCAACTGAGACTCCCAGCCCACTCCAATCCCCAAACGCCAGGTCGGATTGGAATGCATTCGGAAGGATGCAGTGGAAGTGTCTTGAGAGCGGTCGTCTGGCTCTGGGCGTTACCACCTTTCTCGTGCGTGGGGAACGCGAACATGCCTTCTGTCCGAGAACGGTCGGATCTTCAGCGTTGGCCGAGCACTGCAGATGGAGGGCGGCAGTCGGCATTGGATCGAATTCAACAGAGGCGAGGCGAATTGCTCAGAGTGACCCGCGGCGCTTGGACTATGGCTCGAGCCGTTGCGTTCCAAGCATCGCTCGGCACAGCGCGGAGGTGGGGACTGTCGGGGTGGGGCGAATGTCAGAATGTCAAGGTGAGGGGCAGACCTGCAGTCGAGGTGATGCGCACCATTACTGTAGAGGCCTCTGGCCTGTGCCGCCAATCTGTGGAGCTCCTGAACGCTCCGTGCGAACTCGTCGTTTCGTTTTCTAGTTTGAGAGCTTCATCTCGAAGAGGCAGGAGGGAGAATGAGGAGGAGGAGGAGGAGGAGGAGGAAGAGGAGGAGGAGGAGGGGGAAGAGAAGGAGGAGGAGGAGGAGGAGGAGGAGGAGGAGGAGAAGCGGAAGGAGGCTGTTGGCAGTCGTCTTAGGCAGTATGATGTGCTGAATGGAATGATGACTGCGCCGCGTCCGTCTGTCGAGCTTCATGGAGGGGTAGGTCCCTGACGGGTTGGCTCGTTGGTGGGTCGCTGGTGTTGGGAGCCCTTCCGGCCCTGGCCCCGGCCTGGGCCCCGACCACGGCCCCGGCACCCCCGACCGGGGCTTTGGCCACGGCCCCGGCCCCAGCCCCCGGTTCCTGTTCCAGCCCCGGATCCTTGGACCCAGCGCTGGCCCTGGCCCCAAACCGGGCCCCGAGCCCCGACCCCGGGCCCCAGCTCCGGCCACAGTCCTGGCCCGGGCTGCGGCCCTGGACCCCGCCCCGCGCCACGGCCCCGGGGGCCCTGCCCCAGCCCCGGCCCTGGCTCAGGCCGCGACTTCGGCTCCGGTTTTTTTTCCCAGAACTGCCCCCACGCCACCCCGAAAACAGGACTTGCCCCCCCCCCCCAGAGCGAAACCAGCCCCCCCCCCCCGAAAACGAAACCCGCCCCCCCCTTCCCGTTCCAGGGCTCGCCCCGTTTCTAAAACGGGGCACACACCACACACACACACACCTTCCAGAGCGAAACCAGCCCCCCCCCCCCGAAAACGGAACACGGCCCCCCCGCTTCCAGAGCAAAGCTTAAGCGAGCTCAAGCCTCAAGCCCACGCTCTTTGAAACTCACACGCCGGATCGGCGGAGTTCTGGAGAGGCTGTTGTCTTTGGTCCATGCCGCACGAGATCCAGCTGCCTGCGGCAAGCGCAGCAGGGAGGAGGCAAAGTATAAGACCGGTTCCAGGCCAGCCGTCTGCCTGAATTGACCAGGGTCTTGAATGCCCCCACCTTGTCCACAGCCTCGTTTTCCTTCTCTTTCCTCCTTTCTCCTCCTCATCCTCCTCCTCCTCTTCCTCCCTCCTCGTCCTCCTCCTCCTCCTCCTCCTCCTCCTCCTCCTCCTCCTCCTCTTCCTCCTCCTCCTCCTCCTCCTCCTCCTCCTCCTCCTCCTCCTCCTCCTCTTCCTCCTCCTATTCAGCTGCCCCTTTCAATCGAGAGATCCCAAGCAGCCCCAGCGGACAAACCACTTCGTAACATGAAAGCATGAGCGGGCCATGAAGGGGAGCGGCGGCGGGTGGCGACGCTTGCGGACGGCAGTCTACAATATGCTCACCTTCTTGGTTATACGATGCGTCTGCAGAGTACAAAGCCACGGACTTCCTCATGATCCAAGGTACCACCATCAGGAGCATGGCGAGGTGACCAGACAAACAGCAAGAGATCATGTGTTCTTACACTCGGGGCTTGGTAAACTGAGCAACCAGGCATGTGGAGTGGAAGTGGCGCTTCACAAACAGAAGTATCCAGAGACGAACATCATCAGGGTGGCAGAGGGGAAGCACAAATTGCAAGGCAGAGCTTTTCTTGTACGGTACCAAAGGGGGCGGCAGGACCTGGCCATCATGTCCCTCTATTTCCCGACCAGGGGCAAAGGCAGAAGCGCAGTATCGGAGCAGAAGAGTATCACAGCGGAGCTGGTAACATGTTTGCAGGAACAGCTCAACTTGTTCCCAACGAGGTGAATACCATTGATTGGGATGGGTCTAAACTCGACGTGTGGCATGAATGTTGAAGATGTTAATTGTCCACCAGCGACTGGCACCTTAGCCCCAGACGTCGATGGACCGTATTTCAGAGCGCCCAGGCCCATATTCCAAGCACATGATTTGGTAATGGCTACCACGTTCTCTGATGCAGGCGCCACGTATTTCGGGAAATCGGCAAAGGTGATCAAGCGCATCGACTACCTGGTGTTTCCCAGGAGTCGAATCCAGAACGTGGAGGATGTTCTGCTTCGCACAATAAAGGAAGGAGACTGCAGCACATCAGACGTATGACAGATCAGATTCCTCTCTTCACGTCGTTTTGGCACAGCTTTCAACATCATCAGAGGCAGAACATGTTGCACTTCAGCCGCGAGGCCTGCAACGCCATACTATTGCACGGCACAGGCAGGAAGCAGTTCGTTGAGAAAATGGAAGAGCGGTTAGCACAACATCGAAAAGAGGTACAGGCTTTGGAATATAACGGAGACGTGGACTCGTTGAACGCTAGATTGGTGCTTGCAAGAAACGGCTTCAGACACACCTAAAGGAGGTCCCAGGATACATCGAGAAGAAAAGAGACACGCCGGCACAGAGTGACAAGTTGAAAGAGCTACTGATCGCAAGACGGCAGGCGAAAGAAATCGGGATGTTGTCTCCCGATGGCATGAACTGATTGGTTTGCAGATTAAGTCGGCAGTTGAAGAAGCACAAGCAGAATTTCATCAAACAGCTCACGGAGGCGCGCATTGAAGGATTGCGGGAAGCCTGGCGATCAAGACGCTTCTACGATGCACAAAAAAATGCGAGATTGTTGGCACGCGCATGCCGAGGTCCACGCGGAAGGATACACAACAGAGCACCGACGACGAGAGCTACGGCATCAGACTGAATCTCCAAATTTCAGCAGACAGGACCAGAAGGAAGAGCACAGGCACAATCACTGGTCCAGAGTGAGACGCACAAGGAGACGACGGGGGTTCGGCGTATTCCCTTCGCAAGCTACGACGGCTCGGACCGCGCAGCACACCATGAACCGTCGCATTTGGAATGGATCAACCCGCAGGGTGAAGGCGAGTATCAGAGTTTCAACACGATTCATGAAGACACGCCGGTGGCAGTCGAGAGGCTACGCAAGGCGCTCAAGAAGCTGCCGTCGTGGAGGGCACAACCGAGGCGGCCTGCCCTGGGGGGCGCGCTGAGAGCCATGGCCATGCCGAACTGGCACTATCGACCACATAAGGGAGGAGGGCTGTGACGTCGACAGGAAGAGGAAGAGTTGCAGGCACC